ATCTGACTTCTGTTTGAAAAATACATATTCATAGGAAAGGGCAGACAGATATACAATTAGATTCTTCATTCCTTCATTTAATTCAACAAACATTCATAGGGTGGTTGGTATGTGCCAGGTACTAGAAGCCACAATCCATATTTCCATTCTAATCTCTTTACAAACTCCAGACACTAATATCTAACTTCCTACTGGACATTTATACCTGGAGGAGATTTAAAAAAAAAAAAAAGTGACCTAGCACTCTGGGAGGCTGAGGCGGGCAGATTGCCCAAGGTCAGGAGTTGGAAACCAGCCTGAGCCAGAGTGAGAAACCCATCTCTACTAAAAACATAGAAAGAAATTAATTGGCCAACTAAAGCTATATAGAAAAACTTAGCCAGACATGGTGGTGCATGCCTGTAGTCCCAGATACTCGGGAGTCTGAGGCAGAAGGATTTCTTGAGCCCAGGAGTTTGCAGTTGCTGTGAGCTAGGCTGACGCCACAGCACTCTAGCCCAGGCGACAGAGCAAGACTCTGTCTCAAAAAAAAAAAAAAAAAAAAAAAAAAAAGAAAATGAAAACCCACCCCAATCCACAAACCAACAAAGATACCATACTCAGCAAGTCTAAATCAATGTTTCCCTAAGCCCTGGAAAGCTACCATCTAAACTGGAGGCAGTGTGGTACCGTGGGGAGAACACAGAATTTGATACAAACAAATCTGAGTTAGAATGCAGGATCTGCCTCTTATTTACCTGTATAATCTCATCCCTCATTTGTAAAATTAATCCAGTTTGTTTAGCTTAGTATTTCTGAATGAGAGAGGGAGGAGTCCCTGGTCATTTTGTATGAATCTTGAATCCCACTGCCTCACCAGAGGGGTTCCCACTTTTATGCACTGTCTCCTAAGAGCAAGGGCATCCTGGTTAGGAGAGGGTTCTCTTTCCAGGATCCTGGATCCTCAATGCTTTCTGCTCAGGAGTTGGCCAGGCAAGTCCAACTCTCAATGTCATTGAGATAGCAGCCTTCTGTGTGGGCAAGGAGGTGGTAAGGGGCTATCTTTGTCCGTTTTGTGCTGTTGTAACAGAATACCTGAGACCGGATAATTTATAAAGAACAGAAATTTATTCTCTCACAGTTCTGGAGGCTGGAAAGTCCAACATCAAGGCGCTGGCATCTGTTGTGGACCTTCTTGCTGCATTTTCACATGGCAGAAGGGCAAGAGAGAGGAACTCTGTGTTCTAACATGGCAGAAGAATAGAAGAGAGAGAACACACTCCCAAAAGCCCTTTTGATAGCAGCATTAATCCAATCAGGAAGGCAGAGCCCTCATGACCTAGAAATCTCCCCCACCTTCCAACACTGTTGCATAGGGGATTAACTTTCCAGCACATGAATTGTTGGGGAACACATAGCAGGGGCCCAGAGAACCAGGTTCTGGATGCTGCTGACCCTTTATCATCAATGCCTTAAAAAGTATCTTTATACCAACTCACAGCTTGACCTGGCCCCCAAGGCATGACCTGGACTTGCAGTGCATGGGGCTGTTCAGACAGGAGGTAACACCCTTTTTCTTCTGAGTTACAGAACCACGTGTCTTTGCAAGCTCCCTTTACCTAAGGTCTCTTGTACTTCTGGGCCTGGGCTGACTCAGACATCAGATGCACTGCACCAGGCAGACACAGAGCTGAAGTCATCACAGAACCACCAAAACAGGCCAGGGCACATCCAAGGCCTTTCTGGGAGTCTGGACAAGGTGAGTGAAGAGGGATGGGTGAGGTTTTGTGTGCTGTCTAACCCCATTTTTGCGTTCAGTTATTTTGGAGGCTACTTCACTAGACTCTAAGAGCAGGGTCAGCCCCTTCTGCTTCAACCCCAAGTTATGGGGGGTTGAACAGGTCAGATCTGTTCAGACATCTGCTTGCTCAAAGACTATCCCAACCAATGCTCCAGTTAGGAAGCTTTGGAGCTTTATCTCCTCCCCTACAAAACATTCCCAAAAGAGAAAGGGAAAAGGAGGAAAAGGCCAAGACATCCTCCAGGTATGTCTGCCCAGGACAGCCTGGCCATCACCCTAGGAGGTGCCTGCTGCAGGCTGGAGCAGAAAACTACCATGTTTCCCCAAAAATAAGACCTACCCATAAAATAAGCCCTAGCAGGATTTCTAAGCATTTGCGCAATATAAGCCCTACCCTGAAAATAAGACCCACTGATGGGCGCGGCTACACAGCGTATCTGCACAACCCATGCATTTCGTCACAGAGCGGTAAAGAAGACGAGCAGCCCTTCTCATCTGCCCCATCGTGACAGCTACTATCCCAGAGGTGACTGGAAATGTGCGGGCAGCTCTACGAACAAGGTCGGCTCCCCCTGTCAGGTCCCGGCCATCCTGTGCGTGCTGCAAGCTGAGGTTTTGAGGGTGAAATAACACATCCCTTGAAAATAAGCCCTAGGGTGTCTTCTTGAGGAAAAATAAATATAAGACCCTGTCTTATTTTCCGGGAAACACGATAGTCAGACCCACCCTAGAGAGGAATATAGCTTAGGCGAGTACTTCCACATTGTGCCTGACTGCCACCCCTCTGAAGGCCAGAGGCATAGATTTATCCTGTCTTCCACAGCTGGTGGAGTGAGCCTGCGACCTTATCTCACTCCAGCCAGAATTCTAGTCTGACCAGCACCCATCAGACTGCCATAACCTTGAATGGTCTGGAGACATGAACATTTCTTCAAGGGCATCAAACAATGATAACATAAAAACAAAACAAAGTCAAGGGCACAGGGCTGGCTCAACAATTTTTTGAGATGATAAAGGAGAACTTTGAGTTTGTTTCTGACACATTTTACTCATATTATTAGAAAGGACTGCAATGTGTTACATGTCAGTCATAGAAAATACATCTTATTAAATCATCTCTTAGCTTTTAATTTTTTCTATGGTCTTGCTTTGCTGCAAGAAATCTTCTAAATTTTATGTTATAGAATTGGTGAGGCTGTCTTTAGTTTCTTACTAAAAATATGCTTGGATAAGACTTTCACCCTTTAAATTGTGACACAATTATTTATGTTTTCTTCTATTTACATCATAGTTTATTTTTACTAAAATCAGGATTATACTGTATATACCAGTGGCTCTCCAAATTTAGTGTGCTAATTTACAGAAAAGCAGATTTAATGGATCTGGGGTAAAGCCCAGGTTTCTACATTTTTTATTTATTTTTACTTATTTTTATTTTTTTTGAGACAGAGTCTCGCTTTGTTGCCCAGGCTAGAGTGAGTGCCATGGCGTCAGCCTAGCTCACAGCAACCTCAATCTCCTGGGCTCAAGCAAGCCTGCTGCCTCAGCTTCCCAAGTAGCTGGGTCTACAGGCATGTGCCACCATGCCCGGCTACTTTTTTCTATATATATTAGTTGGCCAATTAATTTCTTTCTATTTTTAGTAGAGACAGGGTCTCGATCTTGCTCAGGCAGGTTTCGAACTCCTGACCTCGAGCAATCCGCCTGCCTCGGCCTCCCAGAGTGCTAGGATTACAGGTGTGAGCCACCGTGGTCCGGCTTGCTTTTTTTTTTTATAAGAGAAACACTGATATATAAAATATTTAAATAATTTTAATGTTGAATTTGAGAAAACAATCTCTCCCTCACCGTATTCCTTTTGGAATTTCAAATCATAGTTCTAGAGAAGTAAACACACTTACTGAAGTTTACATAGTCAATCAAACAGAAACTCTGAGCTCATAATTGGGTCATAAGTGTTTTTTTTCATTAGAGACAGGGTCTCGCTCTGTTACCCGGGCTAGAGTGCTGTGGCGTCAGCCTAGCTCACAGCAACCTCAAACTCCTGGGCTCAAATCATCCTCCTGCCTCAGCCTCCCAAGTAGCTGGGATTACAGGCATGAGCCACCACACCCAGCTAATTTTTCTATTTTTTGTAGAGATGGGGTCTTGTTCTTGCTCAGGCTGATTGGGTCATAATTTTTAATATTCATTAACCACTATCTGTATTTCTAGCATTAGCAGGATCAATAAAACAAAATCTTAGGATGTATAAAGGTAATTTAATAGAGAAATCATATCTGATTATATATTCGTGTACATATAATACTTTAATGTCATACAAAGTACTTTTGCATGTTTTTTGCTAATGGAGTGGTAAAAAAGGGGAATGTCCTAGTTTGAGCCTAAGCTTTATTTTCCTTTTTAATTTATGCAAGTTGAAAAGTCAGTTGAACTGGTAAGGCAAGCCTGCCAGAAGCCCCTGAGAGAGAACTCACCCTAAGGTAAGGCAAGTTAGGCAACTAACTTGGATATTTGGGAGGGAGGTTCCAATTAGGCATACACTGCATGGTGTCTGGCTCACAAATTTGTCTCCTAGCCCAGGTCCCAGTGGATTCATGTTAAGTTCAGAGGAGAAAAGGGACACTTTAAGGGAAAAATTGGAAAGAACTGTTGCTAAGCATTCTTTTCAGACATTGAGGTCTGAGCAGTACTGGGATGGTATCCACCTGGCTAAGTGGAACGTGAAAGCGGGAAAAGGGGCATTCTCCATATATCTGGAAGTGGTAACAGTTTAGCCTACAGGCTCCAGAGCAATCAGTGAGGCTTTGCCCCTTGAGAACTCCAGCACTTTGGCAGCAATGGGGGCCAGTGGAAAGAGCAGAACCCAAGAGAAGGGGCAGCTGTACCTTGCAGATACAGCAGTATCTGAGGGTATAGCAGGACAGGAATAGAATGACACTAACCTGGAATCTCACAGGAATTGTGTGCACAAGTGAGACCTCCTTTGGGTACTATCTCCTGTGTTTGCAGGGAAGCTATAGGGTTTGGGGTCCAGCATGTGCAGGTGGGAAAAAAACCAAACACAGTTCACATAATCTTTTTCTCATTTGGTTCCACAGCAGCATTGTAAAGCCAATATTATTCCTATTTAAATGGGATAAAAGGACCCTTAAATAAATATAATAAATACTGGGTTTATATTTCTGCCTAAGAGATTGAGAAGAAACATAGGATTCACTTTTCTCTTTTTTAAAGTTCTGATGAGTATTTATTAAGTGCCACATTGTCTCTATAATAAGCTGATTGACAGTTTTTTTCAAAATTGCTTCACATCTCTTAATTATATTTTTTTACAACACAAGTGTGTTCGTCTTGAAAAAACGAGAAATTCAGATAAAGCAACACTTTTTTTAAATCCCCTATTACACAGATAGCCACTGTTAAGCCTTTTAAGTATATACTTTGTTTTTTCTTTGCATATTAATATATAAATATATGTGTATTTGTTTTACAAAACGGGATACTATATATACCCTTTGAAAATCGCTTTTTTTCGCTTCACAACATATAATGTACATCTTTCCATGCAAATGGATGGGACTTGTGATTGAAAGGGGGAGACTTGTAGACTTTAGGGGGAAAAAACTCAATTTTATGCCAGTTACGAGCCAAACACCTAAAATAAAGCCATACAAAAAGTTAAAATTAAGAAGATGGGAAAACGGATACACGAAAACGCAAACAGAAGGTTCAGGTGGCAATCCTATATTAGCAGGCAAAACAGAATTAAAGGCCGAACAAATTAAATAGGGTAAGGACGGCTCCGTTTTGCCTTCCAATGCATTATCATCAATTTGTTTCTTACTCTTTTCATCTCCTCCAGCTCATCTGCTGCCTGTATCATCTCCTCATTGCTTAAATTTCTGCCATGTATGTCCCCTCTAAATTGAGGGCGAGAACGAGCCAGCCTCTCCTTAAAGCTTCCCTCTTCTAGCTTATGTTTTCCGACCCCACAGGGAGGCTGCTCCATGGGAGGGCGCTGCTCAAACAGGTCCTTCCTGGAAAGGCGCTCCTGCGGAGGGCGCTCCTCTGAAAGGAGCATCTCCGGCAGGAGCTCAGGCAGGAGCTCCTCCGGGAAGAACTCCTCCTCTGAGGACTGTTCTTCCGAAGACTGCTCCTCAGGAGACTGCTTTCCGGGCGAGTGCTCCTCCGGAGGCCGCTCCTCATCGGTCTTTGGCGCGCTCTGTGGTGGTTCTTCATTTTCTTGGCATGATTTTTCCATGTTGGGAATTTTCCTCTTCAAGCACAGTTATTCTTAGGAGACAAGAAAGGCAGAGTACAGTCAGAATACTAAGCGGCTGGACCAACACCCGGGCCATGGGTTCCAATACCTGCCTTTTCCCGATTCGCGTTCCAGGTCCACAAACCTGCGCTTGCCGAGAGGCTCTCGGGCTCTCGGCCGCCGCCGGCGCCGCTTCCCGGTCGCCCCTCCTTCCCGAGAGCCCACCATTTTCCCAGCAGGCCTTGCCGCTGGCCTCGCCCGCAGCGGTAGGGGCGGGGCGGTAGGGGCGGGGCGGTGGGGCCTGCGGATTCCATTCCTGGCGGCGTCCTCCCTCGCACCCCAGTCCCGGTCCACTGCCCACCCCTTCCCGGACCTGGACCTCTCCGGGCCGTGTGCTCCTAGTCGTCCTCTCCTCGAGGTGCCCCGCTGTGACCTGCAGACCTGCAGACAGGCGCAAGACAGGGTAGGGGGCGGGGAGTGGGGAGGAGGGACGGACTGACTGACACCCCCCTCCTTTCTGGGCACCAACCGCTGCCCCAACGCCTGCCCTCTTTGGGTTTTCCTCCCTCCCCAGACCCTACATCAAGCTTCGTCCTTCGTGCCCCCGCCTCTCCACCCCGCAAAGCTCGTCATTTCTTTTTAGGTGGAAAGTGGAAGCGAAGCATTACTTAGAAACTATTTCCAAGTGTCCGCACCTCCCTCCCAGAGGGGCCCCACTCACCTCCCCACCCTGCCCCCAAGAGCACCATTTTCTGCACCGAGAAGTGGGCGCGGGGGCGGGGCTGGAGCATAGGGAATGGCCTGGACTCTGCCATCCCGATCCGATCCCAGGGGTTACTAGGCAGCGCTGACACAACGATTTAAGAGGATGGACGGAACTTACTTCCTTCTGCTTTCCCTCTCGACCAAAGGGGAACTGGGAGACGGTGTCTAGGCAGGCAAAAAGGACCAGGACGAGAGGGACTTGGGCAGACATAGGCTCCTGATCACGTGAGGGCCGCGCGTCACTGCGGAGCTCAGCTCCCCAGTTACCACTTTGACCGAGGCCGTGCTGCACCAGCCTGCCAGTATCTCCTGACCCCAAACACACCAGGCGTTGTCACTCACCTCTCTTTGTTTATGTTTGCCTTTTCCTGGTTGCCAGAGACCGTCAGCATCTAGTCTAGGTGGTTACTGCCTCTTCCCCTCTGCTGCTTCCCCTAGTACCGTCAGCCCCCTTTCCCCCTGCCTCAGCTATGAAGGCCCCTTGTTTCCTCTGCAGTTCAGATCCTGCACTAGCCTTTGAGTGTTTCACCTTCATGAATCAGTATCATATCCTCATATCCCAACACTCTTGAGTTTTAATCCACATCCATAACTGTCTTGTCCATTTAGGCTTTATCAGCATGTTTTCATCTCTTATCACTTTCATGGGAGACAATCTTTCCTTGACATCACTATTTTGTTTTTTTTTTTTTTTTTAGCCCCCAGACCTATATCACAAATAGAAGCTCTAGTCTTGCCGGGCCAGGTGCGGTGGCTCACACAGAGGCAAGAGGATTGCTTGAGCTCAGGAGTTGGAGATCAGCGTTAGCAAGATTGGGACCCCATCTCTACTAAAAATAGAAAAAAGTATCTGGGCATAGTGGCACGTGTCTGTAGTCTCAGCTACTTGGGAGGCTGAGGCAGGAGGATTGCTTCAACCCAGGAGTTTGAGGTTGCAGTGAGCTATGTTGACAGGCCACTGCACTGTAGCCTGGGGGGAAAGAGGGAGAGAAAGCTCTAGTCTAAATTGGTAATCATTCATTTCTAGACCTCTAGAAAGAGTTAAATTTGTAAAGTATGTATATCTAAAAATACTGAATACTTTGATTTTCATAAGTCAAAACACATTTTTCCATTAAATATAAATAATCTAGGCTGGTCCAATGGTAGGGGGTTATCAGAACTTATTAACATTAGTGTCACTAAAGTTGGTATTCAGCTCCCCACTGCAAAATTTGACTGGCTTAAAAAAAATACAAATAATCTAGAAAACTTATCTGAAATGGGAGAATTCTTCATAGGGAGTCTGGCATTATTTTCTTTATATATGAATATATAAAAAATATATGTATATACACACTGAATAGTTTATATGTATATACATATATAAATTATTTAACAATTATTTATAATAGAAGAAATATATTTTACTGAGATTCTAAATCCTTAACCAGCTCTTCTTGGTGCTTCTGATTGAGAAAGTTTATATTCATTAAATCAACAAATATTTGAGTTCTGGGACTGCTGGACCCCAAAAGATAGATGCAGCAGAGAGGATATTCAATATTAAATTATGCAATAATTCTGTTGACTACATACTGAGTAGCAGGATTAAAATCACGCTAACATATTGAATTGCAAGTATTTTTTTTTTTTTTTTTTTTGCGACAGAGTCTCACTTTGTTGTCCAGGCTAGAGTGAGTGCCATGGCGTCAGCCTAGCTCACAGCAACCTCAAACTCCTGGGCTCAAGCAATCCTCCTGCCTCAGCCTCCCAAGTAGCTGGGACTACAGGCATGCGCCACCATGCCTGGCTAATTTTTTATATATATATCAGTTGGCCAATTAATTTCTTTCTATTTATAGTAGAGACGGGGTCTCGCTCTTGCTCAGGCTGGTTTTGAACTCCTGACCTTGAGCAATCCGCCCGCCTCGGCCTCCCAAGAGCTAGGATTACAGGCGTGAGCCACAGCGCCCGGCCTGCAAGTATTTTTTTAATTGTTTTTTGAGACTGTCTTGCTCCTTCGCCCAGTACAGTGCAGTGGTGTGATCATAGCTCACGGCAACCTCAAGCTCCTGGGTTCAAGTGATCCTCCTGCCTCAGCCTCCCAAGTAGCTGAGACTACAGGCACGTGCCACCATGCCCAGATAATTTTTTCTATTTTTAGTAGAAATGGGGTCCCAATCTTGCTAACGCTGGTCTCCATCTCCTGAGCTCAAGCAATCCTCTTGCCTCTGTGTGAGCCAACACACCTGGCCAAGTATGTATTTTTGATCTAATAGTGCTTTAGGATCTTCAACCTCCTGGCTGCATCTCACTCACATCAGCCTGGATGCTACTGTCTTATGCAGATGCCTCCAGAGAGTAGACTACTTTTCCTTCCTCTGTGTTTTACATTTTCAGGTTAGGTGGCCATCAGATCTGTGAGAGTCCTGGGGTTGTTATTTTTAAAACCTGGGCTGTTTAGTAAATTTCTGAACAGAAATTCATATGTGAAATTTCCTGTTTTAAGGACTTTTTGTTGCTTTTCTCTGACATCTAATTTACTTTGTGTTGAGATAGCAGCTAGATGATTATTAGTTTATTTTTATCTTTTCCATAACTGTTTTACTTTCCAATTTATTTTTTCATCAAGAGTTGATTTCTCATTTGTGTAGTTTCTATTCTTAGAGGAGTCCCATTTCATTCATTTCTTCATTTCTGTCTTTATTCTCCTTATATCCTGTAATGGAGAACTCACTACCTTATAAAATATTCCGTTGAAATTTCAGATAGCTCAGCCGGGCGAGGTGGCTCATACCTATAATCCTAGCACTCTGGGAGGCTGAGGTGGGAGGATCATTTGAACTCAGGAGTTCGAGACCAGCCTGAGCAAGAGTGAGACACCCATCTCTACTAAAAATAGAAAGAAATTAGCCGGACAACTAAAAATATAGAAAAAATTAGCCGGGCATGGTGGTGCATGCTTGTAGTCTCAGCTACTTGGGAGGCTGAGGCAGAAGGATCGCTTGAGCCCAGGAGTTTGAGGTTGCTGTGAGCTAGGCTGACGCCATAGCACTCACTCTAGCCCAGGCAACAAAGCGAGACTCTGTCTCAAAAAATAAAGAAATTTCTGATAGCTCTAATCATTCAGAGTTTTAAAATTAATTTCTTTATTTTTGCTTCTGTTGAGTTGAAATCTGCCTTTCGGTAGTTTACACACATTGGTTTTGACTCTGCCCTTTGGAGTGGTACAGAACAAGTATAACATAACAAAAGCACCTTACCCTGACAGTTTGAACCTGCCAGGGTGTCTATTCTGGTTCTTTCTTCTTCCCATCTGTGAGACACACTAATTTTTTCTATATATTTTTAGTTGACCAATTAATTTCTTTCTATTTTTAGTGGAGACGGGGGGTCTCACTCTTGTTCGGGCTGGTTTCGAACTCCTGACCTTGAGCAATTCTCCTGCCTTCGCCTCCCAGAGAGCTAGGATTATAGTCAGGAGCTACCCCACCCAGCTCCCATTTTAAAGGTGAGATAACTGACCTTGGTGAGGTTACAAATTGCTCCCATAAAAACACAGATGATAGTAAGTAGCTGAGATGGGATTTAAAACTTAGGCATTGTGGCATAAAGAGGCTGTGCCTTTAACCACTGCCAGGAGCAGTTGGTAAAACTGCTCCTGGGCAGTAGGCTCCAGCCACATTTATATACAGCCAGGGAGGTGGGCAGCACAGACCTTTTCAGGAAGCAGGAGCTGAAGGTATCAGAAGGCAGGCAGGGCAACCAGGCAGAAAAGGGGGAAGGCAGTCAGCACTGGGCAGCTGCTGCCATGACAACAGTCTCTGGCAGTGTGGCCTTTATCTGGGGGATCTGAGGAAGCCCAGTGTTTCTGGTCCAGGGATTCCTGTTGCTGGGGAGATTGCACTTCTGTGGCAGGAACAGAGTCCTCCCTGCCTCTGAGTCCCCTTGGTTTCACTTTGTCGAGCCTGTCTGACTGGACTTGGGTTCTGCCCTCTCCATCCCAGAGGTCCCCCTTGGGGCTACTGCCTCTGCATTCTTTCCTAATGGCACTAATGGCCGTACCTGGTCCCAGACTTGCAGTTGTTGACCCCGCAGCAGGCCCTGTATAGCCTGTGGCTCTCATGTTCTCCTCTTCCCTCCTTGCCCCAGGGGAAATATCCAAGGGGGAAATGCAATGACAAGAGCTGTCTCTTTTCTGCATCTGGCTTCATCCTAACAAGGGCCTAAAGACACACAAACACACACACACACACACACACACACACACACACACACACACTCCCTGTAAATGCCCAGAGAAACAAGGAAGGGGCTCTGAGGAAAGGTGGGGTAGCTACTCAGGCTGGTGGCAATGCACAGGGACAGGGAAGGCAGGAGCAGACCTGGGCTGAAGGGAGACAGTGCCAGGCTTGGGCTGGGCAGGACTCATGCTCTCACTCACTTGCTGGGGGCTCTGGGGGCTCCTACCCTTCCCTGTGCCTCTGTTTATGACCTTTTTCTCCCTAAAAGATGAGGTGCTGTGGTAGAACCATGAATGAAGTCCCTTCCAGCTCTAGGATTCTACGATTCCACGCTGCCCACCATGTTGAGGAAGGGCTTTGCTCAGGAACACCATTAGGCCTCAGTGGGGATCGCCTCCAAATGGTGGCAGCTGTTGCCTTTCCCAGAACCCAGGCAAACTTAGAGCACAGAACTCATTCTATGGGTTCCAACACACTTACTGCTTACTCTTGGCCTTTCAGGGACTCTTATAAACACCCAGACAACCCCAGCCTGAGGCCTGGGAAGGAGGTTGTGACAGAGGCAGGGCGGGCTAGATAATTTGCGGGGCCCAATATAAAATGACAGTGCAAATCTCCTTGTCCAAAAAGCAAGAAAAAACTACCATTTAGGGTACTAAAATATGAAGCTTTTCTTCTGTGGTCTTTCTTTTGATGTGTCATGGTTTTTTCTTCATTTTTTAAATAGAATTTTTTTAAGAATAATTTTAGATTTATAGAAAATTTGAGAAGATAATACAGAGAGTTCCCATATATCATAAACCCTCTTTCCCCTATTATTAACATCTTACATTAGTATGGTGCATTTGTCATAATTAACAAGCCAATATTGATATAGGATCATTAAAGTCTATACTTTATTAAAATTTCCTTTGTTTATGGACTTAAGGACTTAATGTCCTTATTCTGTTCTAGTATCCCATCTACAATACTATATTACTTTTAGTTGTTGTGTCTCCTTAGGCTTCTCTGCGCTGTGATCTTAATTGGGATGACACTGAATATATAGATCAATCTGGGGAGAATTGCCACTTCAGAAATAACTGAATTTTCTGATATATGAACATGGTATACTTATTCATTTATTTAGATCTTCCGTAATTATTCGCAGTGATGTATTAATAGTTTTCAATGTACAAGTCTTCACATAGTTTATAAAATTTATCCCTAATTATTTCATACTTTTTT